GCCTGTGGGCTAGCCTGGCCTCCCCGAGAGGGTTTTCGGTGGAGGGACCGGCTCTGAGCGGCGGTTGCTCTGAGACCCTTGCTTTTGGGAGAGGCCAGCAGAGTGCTTCCCACCCACCACGCCTGGCTCCTCCCAGGGTGGCCTGGAGTCTTTCCCAGCTCAGGGACCCCAGATGGGATAGCAAGACGCTCCTTGGTCCCCACCCACGCAGGCTCAGGTCCCCCTGGGGGTCCCTCCTTGCCTGGGTGATGGTGGAGGTTGGTGCATTCCTGGGAACTAAGCCACTGGCTTCAGTGCTTCCCCTCCCCCGGCATCACCTCCCCTAAGGCAGGGGTCTTCTAGAATGGGGCCTGGCCACCCCTCCCCCCACCCTGGGAGTGAATGCCCCTCCAGAGGAGACGCTGGTGCCACTCCAGCTGGGTCATCTCCCGCTGCCCTGCGCTTCCCTTCCCCTCAGACAGGTCCTGCTTTCATTTCTGGCTAGTGAATTAGACTTTTGTGTTTTCGAGGTTTATTAGCAGGTCTGCTCAGGAACTAGACTAACCAGTAGCTTTGTATTGGGTCACCCCAGCCTATGGCTTTGGGGCTGATAAAGCAGATGTATGTAGACGCCCCCTCTTGGGTCCTGTTGGTGTGCCCCTTAGCCCCCACGGGCTCCGTGGGGTAACAGGAGTGATGATAAAAGTTTTAATTCTAACATTTGAGGCTTTGTGTGTTTTGTCCTTGGTTTGTGTCATAACACTGACATCATTGTCCCTGGGTGTCCACGCCCTCTCAACCAGCCCTCGCGCAGACCTGCTGGCCCCGCCTCCAGCCCATAGCCAGACTCCTGTACCGGTGACCCAGCAGGTAAAGGCATGCTGGCTCCCATATGCGGGGCTGGCCAGTCAGGTGTGCCTGGGCTTGGTTAACCAGCAGGGGCATCTGTTTTGCATGGAGTGTATTCTAAAGCCTCAGAGGTGACTATTGCTCTCTGGGAGTTGGTTCCTTGGGCCCCTGGCAAAGCTGGGCATGTACCTCGAGCCCCTCCTGATGCCACAGAGGACGGAGAGCCAGTTACCAAGGCTGGGCCACAGCTTGAGTGAAAGGGCTAGCCAAATGTCAGGGCATGAACCCTCAGGTTGGCAGTGACACACAAGTCGCCTCAGGGCTGGGCCTGAGAGTCCTTAACTGGCGGCATCTCTCAATGCCGTGGGCTAGGACATTTCCCCCTTGGAGCTCAGCCTAAGTGGAGAGGCCAGAGCAGCTGAGAAATCTCTCATTGCTTCCAGGGGCCCCACTTCTCAGGGGCTAGTGGGGGGGCTTGGGCTGGAGGGGTAGCTTGTTAGAGAAGGAATGGCTAGAGATGGGAATAAGGGAGCTGACGCCCGGAAGAAGGGGGCCAGCAAGGCCTCTGGTGCCGGGCCTCCATGCATTGCCCATAGACTTCTCCAGGGCTGTGGAGAGATTGCTTGGGACATCCCCTGAGGCTGGCCAACTTCAAAGCCACCCGAGGTCAGTTGTGATTAGTTCCTGGGACCATTGGGCTCTCTTTCTGAGCTGCTCCACCCTTGGGGAGAACAGCATTAGGAAGTCTGGGATAGGGAGAACCTGGGGGTGGGTGGGGAAGTGAGCATGTCTGGGGCTCAGTGTGGAGTGGTGATGAGCAGACGTGACCCAAGCTCAGGTTGGCTGGGCTGGGACCCGGCATTTGTGCTTAGCAATAGCAGGCTGCCTGAGTGCAGGGCAGCCGTTCCAAGCACCACCGGCAATCAGTGGCTCACTGCAGGCTCACTCTTGTCCCATCAGGGTCCCTCTCCTCCCTGTCTCCTGGAAGGGAAATGCCTTTCTCTGGAGTTGCCCCCGCATGGCGGTTCTGGGTGACCCCCTTTGATATGTCTCCCCTCAGCCACTGGCATCTGTCCCTCCTCTCCTGGGTCATGTGACCAGCCTCTCTATGTCCTGTGTTCTCTGAACTTCTGGCAGGTGTAGACTCAGACTCACACACTTTCCAGATTCCCCCAGAAAACTTTGGGGACTCGGCCAAGAAGGGTCAACTCTGGCGCAGAAAAGCCAACAATCGCTCCGGTTTGGCTTTGTCACACGGTGAAAGTTTTTGTTGTGCTTGTGTGTCTTTTTCTCAGCAGCAGATTTACATTCCTAATGATGTTTGCCCAGGCTGAAGTTAGCCTTCATTCCTGGAGAGATCATCAATGGAGGGTGGGTGGGGGAGTCGGCCTGGTCTGAGATTTTAATTTTGCTTAGCTAATCCTCCACATGGATAATCCACTTGTGGATAATTGAGGTTTGGCGGTCCATTATCTTTAGCCAGCAAAGTATGACAGGCAGTGCTTTAAGGGACAGGTCCCAAAAGAAGGCTGGCGAGAGAAACAAGGCATCTCTTTCATATCCGTCTAGTGGCACCCTCTCCCGGGGAACGCGGGCGACCGTCCTGAATGCGCGCTTTCAGCTGCACGTTCTCACACCTGGGCCATGTGTGGTTCCTTTGAGCTCTGAGGCACAGGCCACACGGCCTCTCATCATTGCAGGGGTGGTGGGTAGGTGACTGTGGGTAAACCGACAGGTGCACCCTCCGGAGGGTGTTGACAGCAGCCCTTGCTCTGGTTCACAGGCCGGGGGGCCAGGTGGAGATTCAGTCTCTCTCCCGCCTCACTCTGGCCTATAATTGGGTCTAGCGGTCCCGGAACGAGGCGGGGCCCACCTGTGGCCATGAGACCAAGCACCCATGATGCTTTCTGAGGCACCTAAGTGTTCGAGTTCCCCTGCACAGTCCTGTCACCTCTTCCTGTCAGGGGAGCCCTGGCCACCAAATACACGGTGTTAAAAAGTCTCGGCACCTTTCACTGACCAGAAGCGACCTCTGCTGAGCCTAGAGATGGTGAGAGCACAGGCTCGGGTGGCTCACAGGCCAACTGTCCCGTGTCCTCTCAGGGCTTCCATCTGCCCCGCAGGACCTCAGGGAAGACAGGGACCCCGGGGCAGCCGGCGGGATCGGTAGGGTACTGATCTGGCGTGGCAGGGTGTTCAGACCGCTGCTTTCTCTAGTAGCCGAATGTGCTTTGGGCAAATCACTTCCTAAACTCAGCTTCCTCGTTTGTCAAACGAATAAACTCAATATATAAAACAAATAAAAGCCGTCTTTTGTTAGTATACATTGTTCTGTTCAGATTTGTAACGTTTACTTAAAAGATAATGACAGAACAGCAAGGCCTGTCCTGATGCACACAGACACTGGGGATGAGGGTAGCAGCCGTGGCATTCGGCCTGGGCAGTATCACGTGGGTTTGTTTCTAGCTTTTGGTTGGACAGTAAGGAGATAGATAACTGTACTTGTGCAGTAAGGAAATGGGTGAGTGTACGTGATGACCGCACTGCTCACTTACCTTAAGGATCTCAGGATATGCTTCTGTTGAACAGACACAGTAGGAGCAAGTTAACAGGGTAGTGGGTTAACGTTCGATCTGTAATGCACTTAAAGGGGCAGGCTGCTTTCTCTTGAAGTTCTACAACAGTAAACATACACAGAGAAATGAGTCAGACTCGACTAGGACCCCGGAAACACTTCCATAGAATCAAAATAGCCAGAGTCACCAGACTGAACTCTCCTGAGGACTTTCCTGACATTCCGTGGCCCCAAGGCCCGTGCAAGCCCCAGCTGAGGAAGGGTGCTGGGGGGAGATCAGGGACTGAGACCGAGTCAGGTTCCAGACACAGGAAATGCCCGGGGCTTGGGCCTGCCCTCCCAGGGTGCGGGTGCTGACCCTTATCACCTGAGTCATCTGCCCCTGGGACCTGGCCATGAGTTGGTGGTCACGGCACAACTTTCTGTGACCGCACTCTTGGGAGGTGATAACACGGCCTCCCCCGGAAGGCTGCTGTAAGGATGGACCGGGTGAGATAAGTGCCTCTAAAAGGCGAAGCGTGGTGCCCGCCTGGCACGGAGTGAGTGCCAATCAATGTAGGGTAGCATCACCTTCCGTGTTCTTACCAGCACTTCCCCAACTTAACATTTCACAAATGCTCCCAAAGCCTCTGGCCCGCCTTCTCTCTGCTCTTTCTCCTGTTAGCAGCATGGACGCCATCATGTTAGGGGCTGCTTTTTCAATACAGACTCACGAGGATATGGGAGTAATCTATGGGCTTTGTCCTGCCTTTCCTTTTCATTTCCCTGTGGCCAAGACGAACAGTCACTTTTGAATAAAGGGAATAAATGGAATTCTTTGTATAAAGCAACTAGGGAAACCCAGGATGGAGAACAGGAAGACTAGTCTGTTTGTATGCCAGTAACTCTCGTGTAAATTCCCTTACAGTCAATGCAACTGATGTCAATTCTGAATATTTACGAATGAACAAATGCCTCGTCTTCATTTTGTAAGGGAGCATCGTATGCCGTGCTGTGGTAGTCACGGGAACCAGGAATTCCAACGCCAGTGTCCCGTGTGGGCAATCAGAGCAGCAGGCTGGCCTGTGGGAGAGAAAGCCTAGGCCAGTGATGAGCTCGGCGTGTCAGCATTTTGAAAACCCTTACTTAACTGTGGTGCTGTGTCGCATATAGAAATTTTTTGATATTTGCAACCACAGTAAAACAAAGACTTATATTTTTGATATTTATTTTATATATTTAAATGCCATTTAACAAAGAAAAATCAACCAAAAAAATGAGTTCGCGTGTCACCTCTGACACGCGTGTCATAGGTTCGCCATCACTGGTCTAGGCCGTGCTCTAAAGTTCTCTGTACAAGGAGTCGAATGTGTCGGCCAGAAGTGGTTTTGTGAGGAGTCAGGCGCGGCATGCCAGCTTTCCCCTCACCCCGTTTTCCTTTCTGCCCGCAGACCTGCAACGCTTCCTTTGCCACCCGAGACCGTCTGCGCTCCCACCTGGCCTGTCACGAGGACAAGGTGCCCTGCCAGGTGTGCGGGAAGTACTTGCGGGCGGCGTACATGGCGGACCACCTGAAGAAGCACAGCGAGGGGCCCAGCAACTTCTGCAGCATCTGTAACCGAGGTAATCTCCCTGCGGTCCCCTCACTTCCGGAGGCGGGGCCTGAGCTCATGTGGGCGGCTGGGGGCTCCGGACCACCCCGCCTCAGACTCCATCCTGCGCACGGCCGGCCTGCCCTTCCCACTGAGTGATAGACGGTCCTCGCCCAGCTAGCTGCGTGCCACCCCTTCCGTCCCAAGAGGCTTAGGATGTTTGGAATGGGAGTTCCCAAGAGATCAGCAAGTGGGAACAGGAAGGGTATTGTTCCCAAGCTGGGCCCGGAACATCTGCTGCTCAGGTGGCAGGATGGATGCAGTTGGAGAGACCACGGAAGTATTGATGTTGGTGAGAGAGTCACTAGACCCCACAGGGGGGAGAAAAAGGGTTCCTGCTTGAGAGCCTGGCTGGCTGGTTCCCTGGCATGTGGAACTCAGCAGCCAGGGAAGGAGGAAGTTGAGTCTAGCGATGGATAAGGATCAGAAAAGAAACTCTGTATGTAGCACAGATGATCAGAAGAAAGCCCAAACCCAGGTAGATTGTGGCCTTGACGAGAAAGGAGAGTGGAAGGTGTTCTGAGCAGGGGAGCGCGCTTGCTGCTGAGGTGGGCCGAGGTGGCTCTGGCTCTGGCCCGGGTGTTGTGTTGATGAAGTCAGGCCTGTCCTGGGTCTGAGCTTCTGCCAGGGCTTGTCTGTCAGCGGTTGGAAGGGCTGAGGTTTGTGTTTTGCACGCGCAGTGTCAGTGGAGGAGGCTGGCGCCACGTCTCTGCTGGAGGAGGTTGGGCAGCTGCCGGTAGTGGGTGTGAGGATGCTTCTGCACTGTGTGCTGGCTCTGGCCGGGTGTGGACTCTGCTGGGAGGTCCCGTATCCTGGGACACCCTTGTCTCGATGCTTCTGGAAGTGTTGGGTGTGGCTTAGTGGATTGAGTACTAAACCAGGAATCAGGGGGGCCTAGGGTTTAAATCCCAGCCGCTTCCACCTCACCCCTCTTCCCTCCTCTAAACGTCAGTTTCTTCATCTCTTAAATGGGGTAAGGACCCCCCCCCTTGTCTACCTCACAGGGGTGTTGTGAGGATCCCGGCACACAAAGTAGATGGAAGTTAACTGAACCCCACAAGGTGCTGCACACGTGGGAGGCCCCGTTCTTACACTTTGTAACTGTTAGGAAAGACGCGCTGACACCCTGGTTTGGACGAAGCGAAGCAAACATCCCTGCAGCCCTTGGCTGGAATCTCTGGGTGCTGTGCTGTCTCTGTGTGCCCCGAGGTCGCTGGTGGGGGAGACTGCTGAGCAGCTGGGTATTCCTGCTGCACACTTGGGGTTCGCCTGAAGGCCACTGGGTGTCACTGTCTGCATCACCAAGAAACCTGCAGGAGGTGGTAATAAAAGCCGCTTAAGCATCTGTCCTACTTTCTGACATGTCAACAGAGCCCTTCTGGCAGGAATTTCCCCCGGGTAGCAGGTGGTGGGGTTGTGCATACAGGGAATTATCGGGGTGTAGCTGATCATCTTGACCGTGGCTGCCCTAGCTCTAGAAAGTTTTCTGTCTTGTTATATCCTAATCTGGCTTCCTAACAGCACCCCCAAATAATGCTAAACCTGCCACCACATGCCATCCTCTGGCCTTTTGTCAAGTTTTCAAGGTTGCAGTTCTCAGCCTCAGAACTGCGGTCAGAGCCCAGAAGCAGGAACCAACGGGAGTGGAGAAAGATGCTAATGAGGAAACCCAGAAAGCCTCGCCCGGATTGCAGAGCGGGGTGAGGACTGGTGGGAGATCCAGGGCCACAGCCCGTGGGGGCTCAGCTCCCGAGGAAAGAAGAGCTGAGAGCAGCAGGGAACAGCAGGGCAAGTTGGCCCAGTTACAAGAGGGCTGATGTGGCAAAGCCAACAACTATTGTCCGTGGGGAATTGTTTTTCCTGGGGCTGGGAAAGGCCTTGGGCAGCAGCCCGCAGGCTCCATGACTGGGATGGAGACACCGGAAGAGTAAAAGCAGAGGCCACCTTATCTCAGAGAAGACAACACTACATCTGGATCATAAGCTAAACAGCTTTGAGTCTGAGTCAGAGCAGGAAGTCCCATTCTTCTAAGAAGATAAAAGAGGGCTCTGGTCCAGCCTACCCTGTGTACTCAGAAGGAAGAGAAGGAACAGGATTCTACCTCTGGACTCATTTCTTGGGCTGAAAAGAAAGAGACCCCAACAGAGGGGAAAAAAAAAAAAGGAAAGAACACCAAAGAGGAAGGCAGGTTTTCCAGGAAGAAAATGACACCAAAGACATCGAGGCACTGGAATCAGAATGCAGAGAGTCTGGGTCATCCTTTGCCCTGCCCGCCACCTGCCACCGAGGCTGTGAATTCGGGGAGGAGCTGAACCAATAAGTGGATGTTCTTAACTCTACAAGGGTTTGAGCAAAGGCTAATGTCCAGCCAGCTGGTCAGATGGTTGAGATTGGATCAAATGAATTTCCAAATGCCCTCTGACATCCTTCAATCCCAACAAGTCTTTTTTTTTTTTTTTAATTGATTCCAGAGAGAGGAGGGGGGGAGGGAGGGAGGGAGAGAGAGAAAGAGAAACATCAATTGGTCGCCTCCCACATGCGTCCTAACCAGGGATCGAACCCGAAACCCTTGGAGCATGGGACAGTGCTCCCACTAACTGTACCACACTTGCCAAGGCCCAACAAGTCGTAAGCAGTCAACTTAACTACTAATGGACCTGCCATTTTCAGTCTTTGCCTGTGAAGGATGGAAAGATTAGAGGCAGCCTGGCTGCTCTAGTCCCACGCTTGAGCAGACGACCTTGTCTTTGTCCTAGAGACCTATCAAGATGCGGGTCAGACCTTCTGGAGAGGAAGAGAATTTGTAGTGGGAAGATGGTGAGAAAAGTTTGTTCCCTCATTTTCAGGTTGAGGATATCAGTTAAGTTGAGCAGTGGGAGGGAGAAAAGGATCCAGTAGGTCACCATAGTTTTCTACCTTTCTTTTAAAATTTCTGTAGCAGGGTCTTTGTGTATATGCGTATGTACCAATGTGAGGAAGAGGGGTTGCTTATTGAGAATGTGCCTCTGACAGAGACAACATCTGGTCTCCAACATCACTGCTTAAAAGATAGAGGAAGTCTTCTTCCCAGAGGTGGGCGTACAAGTTGTCGCCAATGCCAGTCTTGGGCGCAGACGGCCTGCCATTCTCTGAGCTGACACAAACCAACTAGTGCCCCCATCTGGCACCGCTCAGTTGAGCGTGGCCTCACCAAGGTTTGGACAAGGAGAAAGCGACCCCTGCGTGGATGGGAAACTTGCAAAGAAAGGATTTGCTTCTGGAGTGTGAAATGCAGCGCAACAGACAAGGAAACGCAGTGGAGGAGCAGGGTAGCCTTTGGCAATAAAATCTTCATCTCTAGAATGCGAGGGAGGGCGGCTTGGTGGTTCTAGTGGAGTCACATGTGTGCTCAGTGCTCCATCGTTCTGGTGCCTGGATCCAGCCGCCTTGTTGGTTCTTGGTTAATCAGTGGTGAATGGGCAGGTGAGTTCAGAATTCCAACTAAATGTTTCTGACTTAAAAGATGTTTTCTTCTCAGAAACTCAGCTTCTGTTTTAGCTCAACAGTTGGCTGCTGAGTTGCTCTGTGTTTAAATTCTGGGCTTCACGCGGCAGCTGTAGATCCACTCCTCCCACCCCGCCATGTGGTTCTGCTATAGATAGTGCTGCCTGCAGCCGGGTAGAGTCAAGAGGACCCAGCCATGTGTTACTCGGCCCGTTTTTCAGGAAAAATAAACAAGTTCTCATTGAGCATCTGCTGGATTCCCCTGGTACATAGCTCTTTCCAGAAGGAGTGACTATACTAATTCCTGGTGCCCCTTCCTTCCTTTCCCCTCCCCTTTTATTGCCGTGGACCTGCCTGGGGACACCACACCACTGCAGAGGCCTCACCAGGGATGAAAAACAAAGAAAAAATTTCCCTTCTACAGTGGCGGCATCGTATCATCAGAAAGTCCCTGATATCTATGCTGAGTAGGGGGCTGAGATCCTCTTTCCCATGAGCCTCTTCGACTCATTCCTGACTACACCCTTCCTCTCAGGAATGTTCATAAGATAAGTCAGTCTGCCCTGTAACTGGCCCCAGGCAGACCCCTCGTCACAGCACAGGACAGCTCGCTCTGCCAGGCAGGGCAGGACACCGGCCTCTGGCCCAAGTGGGTCTGTGAAGGAGCTGTGTCAGGAAAGGAAGGAACCTTCACTCAATCCCCCATTTCCTCCAGAGCCACCAAGCACTGTTGTCAGGGGAGTGTTTGTTAAATAAGCTTCCCACACGTCAACGGCTTCCATTCTAATGGAAGAGAGATACATGAGTGTAAATGGTGATCGCGAAACGGATTGCAAAAAGTCCAAGGGATGTTTCTAGGGCCAGGGCCAAGACACAGGAACCATTAACAAGAGTCTGCCCCCCGCCCAGCCGGTGTGGTTCAGTGGTTGAGCATTGACCTATGAACCAGGAGGTCACGGTTCGATTCCTGAGTTGCAGGCTTGATCCCCAGTGTGAGGTGTGCAGGAGGCAGCCGATCAATGATTCTCTCTCATCATTGATGTTTCTATCTTCCTCTCCCTTCCTCTCTGAAATCAATAAAAATATATTAAAAACAAACAAAAAAAGAGTCTGCCCAGTGGTTAAGGACCACATGGCCCTGGGGTTGGAGTCCAGGCTCTGCCATTTGGTAGCTGTACCTGTGACTGCAAGTTGCTTAACCTCACCAAGCCTCTTATTTTGTAATCTATAAAACAGGTATAATAATTCTCAGCTCATAGGGTGGCTGGGGGAATACTGCATGCAGTGTGCCGGGCCCTGGCACACCATCACCACTTGCTGAAGGTGAACTTTTTCTTTTTTGGCAAGAGAACATTTACTGGGTAAATTACTCGGGTAGAAAAAGTAATTCCTAGAAGAAATGGGCTTAGGAAACAAGTTCTAGAGGGAAAGGAAGGACCCTGGGAGTTTGGGAGTGAGGAAGCTCATGGTAACTTTTACTATCGTTCCAAAGGCCATGCCAATTCAGGCTTTTTAAAGTGAGTCTTGTGCAGACATTACACAGTACTTCCAGCCTCTGACCTGTTAGTCATGGATCCCATTGTCACCCTGTAAGTTTAAAGGGGAATGAAAGTACCTGAGAACATGTCAGCCGGTCTGCGTGAATGAAAGGACATCATCGAGGCACTGACACTCCACGTGGGCCTGATGCTAAAAAGCTTCGCTTCCTGCTGAAGGCACTTGCTGATCCTTGGCCACAAATGGGGCTCGATGACACAGCTTCTTCCTGCGAAACCCTGCCCACCTGGTTCCGTATCCTCAGGCTTGTGGGTGGTGTAGAAGTTGGCCCAAGATCTACTCTTCCCAGCCTGAGATATCACACAGCGCAAACTGACTGGAGCATCTGGGTTGGGCTGGAGTGGCCCCACGATGGCTGGACCGTCCCTTCCCCAAAATAAAGGCAAAGATCATCCCTGTTTTTTCCTTAAGTGAACCTGATGGATGCTCCCAAAGTGAACCACAAGACCACCATGAATAAGAGATGACTACACTCCTTTAACGTGACTTCCTATTTTTCTTCGAAAAGTCTATAAACAGTTACTAAATCCAGTTATTCTGAAGGTGGAAAACATAGGAACCTAGAACATGTCCTAAGAAATAGAAGCAGGAGTGCTCCTGGAGGCAGTCCTTTGGGATTTCATCGGGCCTCCATCTGATTTGTGGTACCGTTTGCCTTTACAAGTGTTAGCGAGCGTTCTGTGGCTGGCGGCCCGTGGCTGCCCGTATGCTTTTCTGACTCCGTTTCTAGCTGTGGTCCCTACAGCTGACGGGCTGTGGGACCACTCAAACAACTCCTTACTGAGGGCCAAGCAAGCCTAGAGGCGTTGGGCCTTTGGCCCGGCCGGAGCAGGATCTGACCATCCGCCTGTCCAGGCAGCTGGCCTGGGCCCTCCACCGCAGCCTGGCGGAGTGGGCTCTGCAGAGGAACCCATTCGAGGACAGTGCCATCCTTCTTCCTGAGCCAGGTGGCTCCTGTGGTTGCAGCTGTTTTTGAGCCAAGGCGGGCCCCCTTCTAGGTGCAGCTGACCTGGGAATGCTGGCCGGAGCGGCCAGCGGAGAGGCGTGGGGGAAGCAGAGAGGTGTCTCGGTGCTGGCCGCGGGATCTCATCTCCTTTTGTCTTGTTTAGGTTTCTCCTCTGCCTCCTACTTAAAGGTCCATGTTAAAACCCACCACGGTGTTCCCCTTCCCCAGGTCTCCAGGCACCAGGAGCCCATACCGAATGGGGGAGCAGCGTTCCACTGCGCCAGGACCTATGGCAACAAAGGCAAGCGACCCCTTGCTCTGCACTTTGCTTCTCTGCGCAGACTGTGTTGTGGGGGCGCTGGGCCGGGTGTGGGGAGGCGGGAAGGCTGCCGGCTTGCTGGCCGCCTCGAGGAGGCTCGGTGATCTGAGTGGCAGTGGCCTCCAGGACAGAGTCCCAGTGGGTAGCTCACTCCAGGGCAGGGAGTGAGGCTTTAGGGCCCTGCCAGGATCCAGCCCCCGCCTCCTCTTCCCCAGCCCTCCTCCCTTGCTCCTGGCCAGGCCCGCTGTCTGGAGCCCCCGAGCAACATGTCCCAGCCCAGGGCAGGAGGAGGAGCCCTGCATGATGTGGGCCTGTCTGTTGCCTGTGGCCCTGGAAGGGTGGTGTGGAGCTGTAGCTGAACGCTTTCTCCTTTGATCCTGCTGGGCAGGGGGAGCCCAGGGCTGGCTTCCCCCTTCTTAGGTGTGACCGGTTGCTGTGAGCGCCCTTTCCATAGGGCCTCTGGCTGTGTCTGTGAGATGCATGGCGATAAGTGAACTACCTGACTGCCTCTGACTCTGAGTTGGTTTGCACAGAGCTCCCTCAGCCCTACCTTCACTCGTTGATTCCGGTTGTTTTGTGGTCTTTTTAAGTTGTGGTTGCCTTGGGGATAATGCCAGGGGCTTGGTGGATGGCAGAGATGGCATGCTCCACGCTCCCATCACAGACCTCCCTAACCGGCATGGCTCTCTGAACCCAGGCCGGAAGCTGCTGATTGGTGGAGGACTCCACTGTGGGCCGGGCAAGGCAGAGCAGTGAGGGTTGTCTGGCGGTCCAACTTGTCCTGGGCTCTGTGTGGAACAGCCTGCCAGCTGAGTTGTTCAGAGTTGCTTGAGTCTCTGTGCTTTGGCCACTTGGCCAGGAAAGGTTTTGGCAGAAGGCAGGCGGTGAGGGCAGGCTTGTGTTTGCAGCCCTGGGAAAAGGACTGGCTTCTGTCTCCGCCATCTTGGTGTCTGCTGACTTGAGGATCCCCGGCTCTGGTTCTGCCTTGCTAGGTTGCAGCTAGTCTGGTGCAGAGGTGAGGCCACTGACATCCCTGTCCAGCAGCATCAGAACAGCCGTTTGACCTTCAGAGGCACCCAAGACAGGGCCTAGGAGTTGGGGGTCTTTGAGTTGTTCTGGGGAGAAGCAGTGGAGGTCCCCTCTCTGAACCCCCTTCCTTGGAGCAGGCTGAGATGATGAGGAGCGATACGTGCGCACCTGCATGAAGAGTCCTCAGCGAGGGAGGCTGGCAGCCCCAGGGCCCTGCTGTCTCACCCCCGTAGGTGGTCAGACCCCCAGGCTGACCAGCCGCACCTCGGTGGGTTCTGCCAGGACCGCCCTCCACAGGCCTGTGAGCTGGTCCCTCACAGCCCCTCCAGGAGGGGCCCACTCCAGAGCCTGGCCTCATCTCGCCTCTGTGTTCTGTTTTCTCCTAGAAGGCCAGAAATGCTCACATCAGGATCCGATTGAGAGCTCCGACTCCTACGGTGACCTCTCGGATGCCAGCGACCTGAAGACGCCGGAGAAGCAGAACACCAACGGCTCTTTCTCCTGCGACATGGCGGTCCCCAAAAACAAAATGGAGTCCGACGGGGAGAAGAAGTACCCCTGCCCCGAATGCGGGAGCTTCTTCCGTTCCAAGTCCTACTTGAACAAACACATCCAGAAGGTGCATGTCCGGGCTCTCGGGGGCCCCCTGGGGGACCTGGGCCCCGCCCTCGGCTCACCTTTCTCTCCCCAGCAGAACATGTCTCTCCTTGAGTCCTTCGGGTTTCAGATCGTGCAGTCGGCGTTCGCCTCGTCTCTGGTAGACCCCGAGGTTGACCAGCAGCCCATGGGGCCAGAGGGGAAGTGAGGCAGAGGCTGCGTCCCTGCGGGGATGGCTGTCCGGGGACTGCTGAGAAATGCTGTGAATGCGGAGGGAGGTGATGTCTTTGGGTTCTGTAGCTGAGAGGTTTTTATTCGTTTTTAAACCCCGCCCCCACACCTTATCATCCCATCCCTCTCCACCCCCACCCCCCCAGTGGTCTTTAGATAGATCCTCATCTGATACTCTGCAGAAATGTCTGCGAGGCCCAGCACGGGGCAAGGGCAGGAAACACTACATAGGCCTTCAAGGCAGCACCAGTTCCAGTTTCTCCTCTCGTGAGCAGAAGCTGGGATCCCTGGTGCTCAATTCTTAGTGACCCCCCATCCCAAACCCACACCCGACGGCATTCTGGGACCTCGGTGATTCTGGTCCCCTCCTACTTTCTCTAATCCCTCATTCCCTCATCTCATATCCCTTAAGAGAAAACACAGTAGGGTCTCTACCCACGTATACAACTCTGCTGCCCCACTGTCTTGAAGGAAGCTGGAAGCCTACAGCATCTTATGGACCAGGGGGCGAGTGTCCTCCAAGGGCCCCCCTGAGCTTGACCCTTGACCTGGAGGGCCCCAGAATTTTCTGAGCCCTGCTTTGGAGTCTAGCATTTTGCTACTAGGACAAGCTTAGCTGTTGAGGACACTCCCACCCCAAATTCCAGTTCTTACGTGATTTTTAACCATTCAACTTGCTGTTGGGTTTTAATTCTCTAATTATTATTATTATTGTTATTATTTTTTAGGACCAGTTGTAGTGAATTGCTACTGAAAGCTATCCCAGGTGATACAGAGCTCTTTGTAAACCGCAGTCACAGGTTAGGGTTAGTATTAAACTTTGTTTAGATGTACCATAATTAACTTGGCTAGTCGATTGTTTGGAGTCTATGGAAGAAATAGTTTTATGCAAAATTTTAAAAATGCCAGTCTGGTCAGGGAGGTAGGGGGTTCAGTGCTATTGGGAGGCAGGAAGACAGGAGAGCTGGCAGGTGGGGACATTGTGTACCTCAGTTGTGTCACATGTGAGCAAGCCCGGGTTGACCTCGTGATGTGAATTGATCTGATCAGACTGTATTAAAAACCTTAGTACGTTACTTTCCCTGCTCCCCGAGTCTGGTTTTTCAGCTGTGAGGGACCCAGAGGGTGGGCGGTCCACGCCCCTGCACCTCGGGTGGGGAGGGGATCCCAAGAGACCTATCTTCCTCTCCGTGGCACCGGTGTCACTGGGACTGACAGGTGATTGTTCCCACTGAGGACTGAATTGCCAGCATTCACCCATTAGTTCGGTGGTTCTCAATCTTCTGGCCCTTTAAATACAGTTCCTCATGTTGTGGAATTATTTTCGTTGCTACTTCGTAACTGTAATGTTGCTACTGTTATGAATCGTAATGTAAATATCTGATATGCAGGATGGTCTTAGGCAACCCCTGTGAAAGGGTCGTTTGACCGCCCAAGGGGTCGTGACCCACAGGTTGAGAACCACTGTCTTAGTTCAACAAATATTCGCTCCTGTTGTCTTCACTGCTGTATGCCATGCCCAGCCTCAGACCCTGGGGTACAGTGGTGAAAGGATACCCTTGTGGAGCTTAGTGGGAGACAGTTAACAAGTAAGCAGATTTAACTTGAGTTCAGATAACGAGAAGTCCAAGGAGTAAAACTGCGCAAGGCAGGAAGGTGTGAGGTAGGGGTGGGACTCTGGGAGAGAAGATCTGGAGTTAGCCCTTGCTGGTTTGGCTCAGTGGATAGAGCGTTAGCCTGTAGACTGAAGGGTCCCGGGTTTGATTCCGGTCAAGGGCATGTACTTAGGTTGCAGGCTCGATCGTTGGCCCTGGTTGGGGCATATGCAGGAGGCAACTAATCAGTGTGTCTCTTTCACATCGATGTTTCTCTGTCTCTCCCCCTCCCTTCCACTCTCTCTAAAAATCAATGGAAAAATATCCTGGGATAAGGGTTAACAACAACAAAAATTATGAAAAAACAAAACCAAAAAAAACAACAACCACACCTGGAGTTAGAGGGCACTGGCTAGGACCTAAGGAGGGACAATGTGCAGGCTGAAAATCCTCATGGCCACGGGGCTCTAAGAAGCTTACCAACTTGAATTCCCCCCAACCCCATGTTACCTATGGGGTAAGTAAAAGGTGGTTGCAACCTCAGCAGTGAATGCCTGAAGAGAAGGGGGAAAGAGAACAGCAGACAAGGGGCAAGAAGTGAGCATAATGGGGGCAAGAATCAGAGTGGGAACAGGCTGACTACACAGCAGGCAAGAGGGAAACCCCTAAACTAATAGAAACAGCATTTAACCTCCAAACACGTAGAAAAAAAGTGGTAAAGGAGAAAAACAGACCAGGAGGAACAAACAAAGCCCACAATGATTTAGACTCACATGAATATCAGTAATTACGCTGTTCTGGTTTAAAGGCGGACTCAGAACTGGATTTTTTTTTTAAAAAAACCCTCTAAACTACCTACGTGAAATCTTGGGTAAACTGCTGGGCTGTGGAATGTGTGGGGTGGAGGCCTGGGCTGTTTGGTGTGAGTTTCAGAGAAAAGAGCCACTCTAGAGTGCTGAGACGCTGTGGGCAGGTAGCTTTGTGACCACCACAGACTCTGCCAGCGGTCACACTGCAGAGAACCTGGCCTTGAACCAGAGGCCTGAGACACGCTAGGTCCTGCTCCCCACCTGAGACCCCTGGTTGTGTCTGTGGACAGTGGCAGGAGTGGAACAACAAAGCAAGCAGCTGCTGCTGCTTCCAAAGCGCTCTGGAGGCCTGAGCAGCGAGTGGAGGTGTCCCCGCTTGTCCCCAGCACCCCCAGCCTCCGCCCCTCCTCCGTACGCCATGCCCTTCAGACCGTGGGGGGAAAAGCTGTGCAGGACATGGGTACACAAAGGTGGAATGGCTTCTCTTGCCATGGTCAAGGGCAGAGAACCTGAGCTTTGGCTGTCCAGCTCTACCATCTGGTCACTGCCAACCCTGGGCAAACTTCTGAGCCTGTCACCTCATCAGTGAAATGGGCTGTGAAGACTAAGGGAGACATCATAGGAGCTGCCATTCTCGGTGCCTAATGCTCAGCATGACCTGGGCGGCTGGTTCTCTTACTCTCCCGCTCCTGCAGATGGGCAAACAGAAAACAGGCTCAGAGGTGAGAGGCACCCCCCCGCCCCATGTCACAGTAAGTGACGGCCAGAATTTAAACTCGTTTGTTCTCTGACCTTTATTCCCAAGCCCTCCGCCACAGGTCGTGCCTTCACACACATATAAATACCCAATTCAGTACTTGGCACAGAGGAGGCTCTGGTTGCCCTGCCAGGCCCCCAGCATGAAGGCCTGACAGTGTAGCAGAAAATGACCACCGAGGAGGTCAGGCTCAGTGCCAGAGGGAGCGTCCAGAGACCGAGTGTGAGTAAGCATACGCTTCATACTCGGACTGACCAGGGAAGAGCTGCACCCCACCCCAAGCCTCACCGGACCCCCCGGGTGAAGGTGTGCCAGGCACCAGCAGCAGCCTGTTTTCTAGGCACCGCCAGGCAGAGCTGTCCCGCCAAGGAGCCAGTCCAACTGTAGTTTCTGGGCTCAGCTCCTCCCACTCTCAGTAAATACCAACCGTTCCCTGCGCCCTCCCTTTCCCCACGGAACACCCTCCACCTGGAGTCTCCTCCTTTTTAATCCTCACCCGAGGATATTTTTCCATTTTTAGAGAGGGAGGGAGAGACGGCGAGAGAAACACGGATGTGAGAGAGACACATCGATTGGTTGCCTCCTGCAAGTACCCCGACCAGGGCCAGGAGTCTGCAACCAAGGTACATGCCCTTGACCAGAAGCAAACCTGGGACCCTTCAGTCCCCGGGTCGACGCTCTATCCACTGAGGCCAAACTGGCGATGGCTGGAGGCTCTTTCTTAACAGCTCTGTGCTTCTGAATCTTACTCTGTTCACGACCTTCTTTGCCTGCCTGGGCACTGCTTCTGCCCCTTCCCTGGTCATCGTCACTGTGCCCTGGTTCATGGTGGTCCCAGTGCCGGGGGCAGATCCCAGCACCACCCCCTTCTGACTGGGTGCTTCTCCGTTTGCTCATGTGGAAAACCAGGATAACAGTTCTCAGTCACATGGCTGCTGTGAGGATTACGTGGACTCGTAGCTGTAAAGCACATTAGGTAACACTCAAAAAGCTCCCTTTTCGTTCGCCTCCTCCACCAGACTACGCTCTCATAAAAATGAATGACAGCGGGGATAAGCCAACTTCTTGTGTAAAGAGCCAGAAGGTAGACACGTTCAGCTTTGGGAGCCATATGGTTTCTGTCACAGCTACTCAGCTCTGCTGCTGAGCAGCCAGGCAAAGACAATACATTCATAAGTGGATGGGCATGGCTGTGGTCCCAGACAACTTCATCGATGGACACTGCAATTGAATTTCATTTCATTTTTACATGTTAGAAAATTCTCTTCTTTTGATGTTTCCAACCATTAAAAGACGTAAAAAACCATTCTTAGCTCATAGGCTGTGCAAAAACAGGTGGCAGGCTGGGTCTGACCCCTGGGACACAGTTTGCCGGCCACTGCCCAAGACCCGCGTCTCTTCCTGCCTCTCCAGGCCCTCCCTGGTTTCAGATCTTGGATGTCACCCAGACTCAAATCCCAGCCAACCACGGGCTCACAGTGCATGTGAGTTAAATTAATCCGACACCCGGAGCTTGTGATTTCTTGGTCTGCCAATCAATCCATTGATCCACGTGGAATGCAGTGCCACGTCCCCCAACCAAGATTGCTCTAAGGAACTCCAGAGTCCGCACAAAGATGGGCCTAATGTGCTCAGAATAAGAATTGCCTACCCAGTTCACCTTCCTTTTGAGGGTAAGGGCAGGACAGTGGGCAGGGCAGAGGGCAGAAGGTCCGCAGGGAGCTGGCAGAAGACAGTCCTGGAGGAAATGGTGAATGAGGTCAGTCGTCGAATCCTGTGATTGTCCACTCGGTTCTCTCTGGCTGCTTATCTACCTCTGCTTTCTGGCTTTTGTGAAAGGCTGTACTTGGAGGCACCAGGGTTAAGGA